AGAAGAGAGAGAGAGAGAGAGAGAGAGAGAGGGAGAGAGGTGCGGAGGTAAAAAGAAAAGTAGTAATGTTTGACATTTTTTTTTACATTCTCTTTTTTCATACTTTTTCATTTCATTGAAACAACCAATCAAATGTTAAATTATATTTTGTTTAAAATTAAATTTCATTTTTTTTGCAAAAAATTTACCGTTCCTATAATTAGCTGAAAACAATTTGTAGTATACGGAAAAAGGTTGTAAATTTAAAAAAAAAAAAAATTAAACAACAAAAATATGAATAACAATTCCTTTGTCAATTGTTAGTAATAGTGATGAAAGTAAAAATAATGAAAAAAGTGTAGAAATTAATGGAAAGTATAAAAATTTGAAAGGATTTCAATATGACTGGTTGAAATTATATCATCTGATATGGAAGTGGTATCATCTGATATGGAAATGATATCATCTGATACGGAAATGATATCATCTGATATCACCTGATATGGAAATGGTATCATCTGATATCATCTGATATGGAAATGGTATCATCTGATATGTCGAAAATCTTTTTAAACAACGAAAAGATAAAACTGTTAAATTGAAATTTATCCAATAAATGGTCCGACTTTTTCTTCTTTTTTAAAAATACTATTTAGTCGTTAAATAAAATATCACTGTTTACTTCGAGGAAGAAAACCTTAGAGAGTTGTTATCATTTGAAAAAAAAAGTAATTTTCCACCCTACATTAAATCAATTGTTTGCAAATATTTTGTGATATACCAAAATAGCACTTGGAAAAAAAAATTTTTTTTAAAGTTTAATATGATTAATGTTTGTATTTACTTAAATGGGAGAATGTTAAATTAAATAATTAAAATGTTGCATGTATATGAAATGTTATAAATATTGAAAAGTTTAATGAATAAAACAAATCAATAAGTAATTAGTCAGGTTGAAATTCTATTTTATTTTAATAGGATAAATAAGAAATAAATTACGACCATTTATATATGTCAACGATTAGTGCTAATTGTTTTAATGCTAATTGTTAAAATTTAAATCCATTACTAAAATTTTTAAATTTAGTGTTTAAATTCTCATTCACTATATATACTCATTAATAGTGAAAATATTGGTAAATTTTTAGCAAATTTAGAAAAATAATTCACTATTTATAATAATTATTTTATCCGTAAAATAAAACTTAATAAATGAAATCTAATAATTTAATCAAAAATTGATTAAAATATCCACTTTTTCTCCATATTTCATCCCAAATCGTAATAATTACGAAAAGTAAAAATGAAAAGAAATATTAAAGGAAAAAAAAATTAGCAACAATATGATTACTCGAATATATAATAATAGAAAAAGAATTGTTAACCTAAGCATAGAAACAAGTAATAACTTTCAAATTTATATAAATTAAAACATTTCGATAATTAAAAAAAGTGACACAATTAAATTTTTGAATTATTTCAACAAAATTAAATTGTATTTGAAATAAAAAAAAGAAAAAGAGTGAAAAAAAAAGGAAATTTAACAATTGCTGTTTGAAAAGTAAAGTAATTTGTGTCAACGGTATGGTGACATGTTTCGGTCACATGAAAGTGTTAGCTAAAAAAAAAATAAGCAATATTTCCGGATGAGAAATAGGATAAATGTGTCCTTGTTTGGTTTCATTTCTTCGTCTCTTAACTTTCTTTTTTTTTTGGGGTCTATAAAAATAAAATGAAAATGAAACAGAATGAATGAATATGGATTGAGTCGATAGATAGATAGATAAATGGATACGTAAATAGATAAATAGAAAGAGAGAGAGGGATAGACAGATAGATGGACAAATGGATAGATAAAGAGAGAGAGATAGACAGATAGATAGACAAATGGATAGATAAACAAATGGATAGATAGATGAATAGGCAGAGAGATAGATAGATAAATGAATAGACAAACAGATAGATAGATAGATGAATAGGCAGAGAGATAATAGATAGATAAGTGGATAGAGATTAATTGACGGATGGATGGATAAGTGAAAATAGTTTTATTGGTATAGACAAAAAAGAAAAAGAAAAAAAATTCATAAGATCAAGGAATGAAAAAAAAAGGAAAAAATTTAATGAACTATTTTCGAACTTCTTTCCAAATCAATTATGGACTTTTTCCTGGAATAGGATAAGATGAAGAGATGCAACAGATGACAACACATTCATGACCTTCAAACAGTTAAGAAAAAAAAAGTCATAGAACTAGGATGACAATATGAAGGACATAGAGGACATTCTTTCTCCATCATTTATCATGAAGAATAAACGACAATGGTGATGATGAAGATGAAAAATTATATTGGATATAAAAAAAAATTTGAGCTTTAAATAGCGACATACGACATCTTTTAACGTATTTTTACAGCTTTTTTTTCTTTTTTTTTGCAAACGAAATCATTTTTTGAGATTTATTGCGCAATTGTTGAGGACTTTTTGCGCCATAATAAATGCCAAAAATTATTGCTAATAGCTTAACTAATTAAACTAAGGCTTTTTACTTTCATAGTTATTTTATGCCTTAATTCATTTTTCAATTTGATGATATTTCCAAAAAGAACAAAAAAAACTTTCCTTATTAAATTGATTTTTCCATATTCGAATCATTGTTGATGTGTAAAAGTTATAATATATTACAACGATACATATCAAATCACTTTTTTTTTTCTTTTTAAATTCTAAATAATCAAAAAAATTTATGCGAAGAAAGTAGCATTTTATATTTAATTTTAAATTGAAAAAGAAAAAATTATTTCATAAATGAGTTGAAAAGTAACAACAAAAAAGTTGTTAAAAATTAGCAATTAATTTTTATGAAAATTTAGATTTTTTAGTATGTTTTATATTTTATTGTATACAATAGATGAAAGGAAAGTAGCAAAGAAAAAAAGGAGCAAAATTTTGTGTAATACTTCATTTTGTTCCTTTATGCCAAATAAAGTAATTATAAAATATTTAATTGATTTGATTTCAATTATGCAAGTTAATAAAAGGGAAAATTACGGAGGAAGAGTAAGGTAGCATTATTCATTGTGTTTTATTAAACTTTAAATTCAGAAAATAACAATCCTCCCATTTATTCTTTATTTATAATTTAGGTTTAATTGATCGATGACAAAGAATTTATCAAAATGCAAAAATTATTTTTTTCTTTTTTTTAAATTCCATCAGGAAGAAAAGTGAAAAATCTATGTGCAAATGCAAAAATTCTTCATCAAATCATTGTTTTTTTTTTCTTTTTGCATTATTTAAACAAAGAAAGTTCCATAATTTTTGTAAATTTTACTTTTCATCGAATGAAATTCAAAAATTGTTGCTATGAAAAATTCCGGATATTTTTTATGTTGCTATGAAAAATTCCGGATATTTTTTGTATTGCTATAAAAAATTCCGGACATTTTTTATGATCCGGTAAATGATGAATATGTCCGTTGAAATGAAATTCATCGAACAGTTAGCATTTGATCTTCAGTTTACGACCTATTATTGATAAGGTTGTCAAAACTACTTTAAACTTTAATCAACGAAATAACTCCGATCATTGTAAAAAGAGGATTAATTAATAGAGCAAGATTAAAGATCATTATCATCATTTCTATCCTAAACTTATGATTAATCTTATGAAAGTATATTTAAGCAGAATAAACAATAAATAATAAAGATGAAACAATGATTTCGGAATTTCTTAAAAAAATAAATCAACTTGTTTAAATCACAAATAAATCTGGAAAGTTCGATAATTCAATTATAATCATAATTATAATTAATGATAACGGAATAATATATCTGAATGAAATCTTATGCCTATAAGAATATCATTTAAATGAAATATCTCATTATTGATGAAATAATGTAATTTGAGCTAATTAATTGTGTCAGTTCTATCATTTCATAAAAAAAAAAAAAAAAAGAAAAGAGAAAAAATGAAGGAAATAGAATTGAATAAATAAAAAAACGAAATAATTATAAATTGTAGAAAGTTCAGTTATGACGGAAATAAATGATATTTATACTTATTGATTGTATAATACTAGCATCAAGATCGAATAATATTTTAATTGAATAATTAAAAACGAAATAGAAATGAAATTTTTTTTTTTTTGGAAAAGAAAGACTGATTAATGGTTAATTAGGATTAAAAATACCATTAAATGATCAATCGAATGTTATAAAATGATCGTTTTTGCTTTTCATTTTACATTTTGAAAATATTTTAGGGAGAAAAAAGGCGGAAAGATAGGCGGAGATTGTATTGTAATTAAATATGATACGACCGATGTAGCGATCTTTTAAGCTTCTTCTCTTCCTGTCCGTTGTAAAACAGATCGATTTAAAATCTAAACCAACCATTATTAACAATCAAAATGTCATTGACAATGTTTCATCATCATCATCATCATCATCTCTGTCATCACAATCATCACCGTCATTAACATTAGCAATATCATTGTAGTTTGTGGTTCTTTGGCAAACATTTTCATTCATGGGTGATTGCAATAGCAATGGACCACAAAAATTATCATCGATTCGATCAGCAAACAAATTAATCAAACTAATGTATAATTTATTGATTAATCGTACGTAATGATACATCACTACTATTGTCATTATTATTATCATCATTATCATAATTGTAATCATTATCATCAGTTCGATGGATGGGTAAAAGGAAGAGAGAGAAAGAAAGAAAGAATATCATTGATGAATAAACTGTTGAATAAATTTTTCAAAAATATAAATTTCATTCATTCATTTCCTGCTCCCTTAATTATAACATTTGATATTAAAGCTATATAAGATAGCTTACTAATTTTCTTTCCATATTAGGCCTGTTTAATTACAGGAAAGATTATCGACAGGATTTGATTAAAGTTAAACTTTGCTACATTTTTATTATGTATATGGCCAATTATGCTTGGCCAACAAATCTATGGATTAAGTAACAATACTAGGCTGTATTAGTTATATGTACTAGAGGAAATGAATGGCCAAAGTGTTTATGCTAAAAAGGTACGATAAGTTTGAGTAAAATATATTATCTTTTTATTCAAATGAATATCTTCATCTTTCCCCCGTCTTTTCTTGATAAATTAAAAGGGTAAAATTCAAAAATGAATTCTAATATAGCGAAAAAAAATTGAAAGCAATTAGATTTTATTATAGTTGTAAGTGATATTTAAAATTACGTAACGTGATTTACGTAATTACAAGATGGAATAACGTAATCCACGTAGGTAATTTCACGTGACTAATATCAATTTCTTATTATTAATCATCATTTATGTCGACAAATATGTGGCACATACATAGAAATATATTACTAAATCATTGCTTTTTCGGACATGATGCAAATATGATAAAATGCTGATAAGATGACGAGAAAAGGAAAGAGGAATAGCTATTAATAATTATAAGGAAAGAGGAATGAATGTTAGAGATGATAAGAAAAATGATAGAAGGTAGGAGGAACTAATTATCATTAATATCATTGATTGTCAAGATATCAATAATTTTAGACATCTTATCACATATGCATGGAATGATAAGGTTGTAGAGGAGAAAAGTTGTTAATTTTGATTGAAAAAATTTTATAGGATGATATGATACATCATCATTTTTATCTCTCTTATTCTTCAATTTCTCTCCATTTCCAACGTTTCTCGTTTTCCCCATCTTATTTTAATTAACCTTCCCATCACACCAATCTATCTATCCTTCTTTTCATACCTTTCCCAAAACTGTCAAGGTCGTTTTCATCTCTTTCATGTCACCTTCTTCTTATTTTCCATCCAGGTAAATCGCATTTTACAAACTTCTTTCTTTTTTTTCCTTCATAAACAGTGATAGTTAGTTAGAATTACAGGCTGTTCTCGGCATATATCGATATTTCTTATCTTAAAATAAATATCATCACATGACACCTCATTAATATTCGGTGATACTCGATATTATTGCTAGAAATAGTAGAATAATAGTAATAATAATAATAATAATAATGTTATTAACTAACGATAATAATAATAATAGTAATAATGATAA